AGAATACTGATGTGTTATGTCATATGGGGTGAGCGGATGTACTATATATCATCATCTACCTCTAATTACTCTAAACTGACAAACTTCAATAGATTTCAACTTTATTACAGAACGATAAAGTTGAAATCTATTGAAGTAGTTGATGAATAGATTGATGTAGTTTGAACTGCTGGCGTTTGTATTGCTCGTACTGTGCTATGGCTGTCGCTCACTGTCGGCGCCCAGCTGCCACTGATCGCTGACACTGACACGTACATACAGTGATGAGTAGCATTCACACTCGATATAAATATATTACTGGTACATTTTACTACCTATATTATACATATATAATCTGCTACTTCTTAAGATATATTAAAACTAGCAAACGCATGAAACTCTCATGCACCAGTATAATATTCTTAGTATTCTGTTGTTAAAATATGTTATGTACATAGAAAATGAAATAAATTTGTGTCTTACTTAAACACAGTCGTAAAGCAATTCACTACATTGTTTAACATTGTCAATAATTCTGATGCAGAGCAAAAAAAAGATAATACCCGAATATTACTAAAAGCTGTTTTGACTGTTTGTTCAGTAATAATAAAATTGTTCAAAGTACACGTGCAGCTGGACTGTGTGAGAAATTGTTTAGTTTTCCTTTCATAATACGCATAAGTTTAGTGTTTACTGTCAGAATCGTTTACCGAGCAGCGCACTTGAAGCAGGTAGACCTCCCAAACACGACGTTGGGGAATTTCAGCAATTTAGTTTGTTTATTCGAGTTTGTGTGTTATTTATTGTACTGCCGGCGCATGTTACGTGGCTACATTATGGGGATACCTGTGGTCGGCAGCGGGAGCAAGGTCACGATACATGTCGTGCCGATATTTAGACTCGGGCGACATGTCCAATGTCAATATATACAACTTTATTTATACGCACAAAACACTCATTTTTGTTACCTACCATGCTAACATTTATCTGTTACATTTGTAGTATAATGCTCTGGTTAACTTTTTATAGGAAAAAACTATAGCACTGTAAGCAAAAAGTATAAAGTTACTGTGACTCAGAATAGAAGTCACAACAGTATTCATAACACAGTCATTCTGCTCACAGTGGTCATCTCACGAAAAATCTAATGTGCAACAGTGGGTACATTCACACAGATAGGTATGTACTTACCATGTCCCACATTTTGGAACAATCGATATTTAATTTGGAACGTCATAGGTACGATTGTATTTGTATTAAGTGGCAATATGGCGTCCAGATATTTGGCGCGAATGTCGGCCATGATGCGAGGCTGTAGAACGCGGGCGGTTAATTTAAACTGACAGCGCGGGGATGAATACGGACGCGATAGGTACATAGATAGTTATATAGTACGTGTATGGTATGTAATCAGGTGAGTTTTACAGAGAGTGTTCCAACTATCGATCAACATTAATTTTTTATGATTGAGTTAGCATAAAAAGTTCCTACAAAAATTTACCAACATGATCGTAATATCAAATATGGCTGTTAGTTGTAATGTTTAGTAGCACAAAAAATATCTCATTCATTGCAATATGTTTTCATCACAAAAAGTTTTACTTTGTAGTGTTTTCAGTACAACTCTCCGGTTCCTAGAACGAAAGCTCCAATTCAAAAGCTTAATGTTTGTGCAAAACATTTTCTAAAATATTGTCTAACATATTTACTAACGTACTGTTGCACATTCATATACTTACAATGATTCAACCATAAACTTCGAAATCCTTTTGAAAATTACAGTCGGCTGCTATGATGCATGTAATTAAAAAGTGGGGCAATGTTACATGCAACACCAAAACTGATGGAGCTCACACTTTGACCATTGCTTATCAGTCTCGGGATCTAGTGTGACTGGTCTTGTAGAAGTGGGGGGTGCTAGGTGGTGGGGTTCCGATGAAACCGCGAGGCTTTGATATTCGCACCGGCTGCCCGTGATGGATACGTTGATGCACGGACGGAATGTCGGAATTAAAATTTATATTTAAAAACTCGTATTTTTTCAATGAGAATAATCATTAGCGGTTCACTTTTAAAATATTGCTCGACGATTGGTATTACGTGAAATATGCTCGGTGAAATTACACGTTATGAGTACGGCGCGTACCGCCCGGTACGAGATGGGAGAGGTCCTCCCGGTGGAGAGATTGAACGAGACCAGGACCTGCGTATGAATGCACGTTCAAGTGTTGTCTGTACCAATGTATTTAATTAAAAATAGCTCCGAGTATCATTAGCTTTCGTTACATGCATAAAGAAACATTCTAGTTAGTAGCATCGATACACTGCAACCACAGGAGCATTCCTATTAAATGAAATGATTACGTGAGGTGAGACTACTGGCGCGTTGCAGTAAAGATACGTGATGTAGTGGGTTGGTCGCTGGGTGCGAGTGGGCTGTATCCTCACACGCAGCAAATATTTGAAGGGCTCTTCAGAATATTATTTGTTTTGGATCGTCTTGTTTGTGTGTCTTCCGTTCCTGTAGCGGCGACATTATGAAGAAAACTTTATTGTGCGCACGTAACAGTCCGTTCTATTTTTTGCGATGTTTTTGTGGTTTTGCCACAAAATAACTAGTACTAGTGTCAGTACCAAACCGTATTAAGTGTATGTAGAGCCTTCCATTCGCTGGAGAACAAGCGGAACGCCTCGGAGGCGGATATAAGCCTTTAATATTAAAACCAATCTCTCTCGCGACACGTTCAAACTACACAATTGTGACGTTGCATTACAAGTGTTCCTAGATCGCAGCGGTTTGTGGTCACACTCGTACAGACATAAAGTTCGAATTCTTTATAGTGTTGGTTGTGTAAAGTATGGGTCGAGAAAGATGAGTTTATTATCTCGGAGATATTTTTATATTGTGCAAACAGCCTATAGGGCTGTTTACTCATGAAACTGCTCCATGATTTCATAATAGGTTTCAAATGTCGTATGTTTGTAAGTATGAAGGTATGTTTACTTACCTAAATAACAAGAATACTCCGTTATACTACTGATTCAGTCCCATCTAACTCCGCTCCGCTATCGCTTACAGTCGCGCCGTGCGGTCGGCGCAGTGTCACGCACGCGACATGAGTCTCGCGCCACTGCCACGCCGCCGACACCTACTCTATATACTAATGCACACGGAGCTGGTCCCCGCCGGCTGATGCCAATATTTATTACTAGCACATCTTTTATTCAGATGTCCACGACTCCGCACTCATCTATACGGAATTACATACGATATCCGATGTCGTTTGCCTCATGATTCCAGTCGATTCAAATTTGTAATATGTTATTTATTGGAGCTAGCATTATATCTGCATGTATGTGGGAATTTCTTGTATGTAATTTAAATGCGTTATACAGTACAGATTATTCACGGTTTGGTTACGTATACAGATTTTATTTTCAACGTTTTAAATAAAATCGTTTAGTATCTAAGTTAAGTGAGGAAATCGTAAGCCCTTTAATCATAAAATTAAATAAATAGTATAAAAGAAAACTTTATGAAAAGGCTCAGTTTTTATCTTACAGGTAGACCGATGTCAAAACTATAGTATTATCTCTAATTGTTTTCGTTTCAATTTAAAAGTAATTATTTTTACGGGAGCTTCAATAGTGTACCTATAATATAATGGTAGGCTCGGAGCATCACAGCGCGCGTAATGTCGATCGTGTGGCCAGATCATTGTGATAGCGATTACAAAAGGTTATGCAAATCGGTTCCGCGACAATATTCCGCCTAACACCGCGCCCATTACTAACTGAATTATCAAAAACAATTCTCCGTTATTACAATATGAATACGCTGTTTTAATGGCCACAATAAGCTCCTATCAGTAGATAACCAATCGTAACGACATAGCTTTTAAGCTCTTATTCCCGTGTCCCCGATTTAACAAACTCTTTATTGCGATCGAATTCAGTTTTAATACTTGACATTAAGGTTGATTTCTGCGTGTGCTGGTTATGTGAAAGTTTGTTTTATAAACCGTGGCCAGCTATAAATCAAGATTGATGAATGAATTTGTTGGATGCAGCGGAAATGTGATGTGGTTATGTGTTTGTGATCGGTCCACAAGAATGGAAGCCGGCCGGCAGTCTGATAGCGCCTTTACATTACATCGCAATATCATATTTCAGTAGGTTCCGTAAGTTAAGAAGTACTATACTATGACAATAAATCATTTGAATAGGTTTCCTCATGAATTGTTACTGTTCATGTAATTCCTCACTACGGTACTTTCTTCTAGATTGTAAATAGAGGCGTGATTATTTCGTGGTGCAGTGATTATAATTTACTGATAAAGTAAAAGATTTAAGTCGTATTGTGTAACACTTACATTGTGATTATTTTACAAACTTTATATTTCATTTTCTAATCCCTTCTGCAACCGGTACTGGTGCTAAAGTTAGTTAGGCAACATATTCTTCCACACAATATAAACATGCGACAAAGTAATTAGGTAACTAAGCTCGAACGACCACTCGAACTGTTTGCTGCCGTACTTTCACCCCATTTACTAATTATGTGGTGAGCAGGCAACCAACTTGTGATGTCCCACGAGTGCAGCACGATGCTGCGGTGCCTTGTTGTGGGTTCATATTAAAGGAGAGTGCAGCACTCCATATTAAATTAAATTACGCATACTCTTTTACGATGCGCAACAAAAGGAAATATGTTGGTAAAACTTTAAGTAAAGTTTAATAAACTACCATCAACAACAACAAGTGAATCTATTTCTGCAAATACATAGGCTACAAGGCAGCACTTTTACACGTCAAATTTTTAGGCGAACGATGAGATCGCCGTATCCTAACTGACTACTCTGAAATGCCGAAACAAACTCAGAGATAAATCATCATACTGCTTTGTGTCTTACAAAACTTGCTTTCAATAAACATTTTCTTTATTCAAGTGGTTTCCTTTCTTAAACTCCTCGCGTAATATTTGTACAAACCTAGAAGTACGTTAATGTGCTATCACTCACCGGTCACAATGATGATCAACAGCGCGTGCAGCACCACGGGCAGCATGGCGGGCACACGAGCGGCCTGTGAACCAAAGAAATATTGTCAAATACCAAACTATAATAAATATTCTACTGGTTTACCTTTTAACAAAGACCTCTTCATTTCTTAACGTTTGTTTAGTTTATAACAATTAATAATAGTTAATACAATTGTTTTACAAATATTACAGATCATAGATAATTTTCATTATATTTATTAGACATTTCATCAATGTCTTTTTTTTTAAGGGGGGAAAATCATCGAATGACTGCTACCGCCTGGGTGAGGCGGGAGGGAGTATCAGACTCTTACTGGCTAAAAACCACCCTGTTCCTTCTCCTGCACGTCGAGTCGGAGCCCCGGTTACCCGTTAGGTTCTCCGCGACTTCATCAATGTCTAAGATGTTTATTGACTTAGTATCATAAACTGACCAGGATACCAATACTACAACTAATATACTGAGATGTCTCATTGTGTAGTTAAAGCGTATTATTACATTTCGTTCTGTGTATTTATATAGAGGTATATCCACATGCAGTTCGACGTATATAACGTATCATGTTATGGAAACCGTCACTATCTACCTTTGTTCAACAAAATATCGTAGAGTTGTAAATTATACATTTAATAATGTCGTCCATTGTCAGCTGCGCACATGTGATGCAGGCGTCCTAAGGTTATGGTGACTGCCCAATCACAAAGTACTTTTTAGTGTCGGTAATAGTATAAAACACATTCATGCGCTTTTAACTGGATAAAAAAGCATAATTGTCTATAGTGACTCAATTGTGTTGGCATGTTGTCGAAACTGTAGTAGCGTGTATAAAGTGTTTGGTCCAAGTTTAACTTTCAATAAAAAGTGAAGTTTATTTGTAACAGTGAATTAGCTGGAGAATATATGTGTCCTAATGTATGATATAGGTACAAACATATTTAAAAATGAATATTTTACACAGAAAAAATATAATTTAATTCAATTACATTTTGTCCAAGCAAGTAGCTGCAGTAGCAAGTTTTATAACAATTAATTTTATCTTAATTATTTATTCACAAAATAAATAATACAAAGTAAAGGATAACAGTTTGTAAGAGGAAGTTGTCTCCAGTTATAAATAAGAGAACAATAATCACGTGGCAAGTAACTGCACACTACAACACACGACATACTACAGCACACGACACACTACAACACACGACACACTACAGCACACGACACACTACAACACACGACACACTACAACACACGACACACTACAATACACTACAACACACGACACACTACAATACACGACATAATACTCCAGTCCCCACTACACATTAACAACGTTTTAATTTATTTTTCGGTCTCTTGTCCACTCGGATGTGGTCGCATTAACTCTTTACTTACACTTCCTGTAAGCTGAACACTGCCTTTGTACTTCAAACCTACTTTGTCATTATTTAAATACCCACTATTTAGTTTCTTTTTACGAGACATCTCGTATTACAATGATTAAATCTAATTTTACGGTTAGCTCAACTTGGCTTTGTTTTTTATTCGGTAATTATTATACTGTTATTAAATAAAAAATATGAACAATTTGTTTAAGAAATTTCCTATAATTTTTAATTTAAAGTCGTTGTTAATTAGTTATCTCCTTGTTTCAGTTATATTTGTTAAAATATATAATATCTAATAATAGTTTTCATTTTGTTTCCAGTTACCAAAAGTAAGTGGGCAGCTGTGAAAGCTCGAGAGCAGAACATAACAATACACTTACTGTATTAATGTGTAGTTAATATATCGGTAGTAAGTCAATGTTCAAGTTCGTCCTGCCAACATCCCATAGCACTCAGTCATAATAAACTATTCAACACCAAAGTTCACCCGCGAAATACTTTCCGATGTCGTAGCGCGGCGTAGCTCTACGGCGTAGCAGAGGACCGCGCGCCTACACACCGAACTCGCGAATGGCGGGAGACGCTACGCGCTACGCCGCTACGAGGAGCCGCTCCGCTCCGCGACACAGCCTAAAATATTCACAGCATAGATGTTCCAATAAAGCAGTACGACAATTGATTCTCTGCTGCTCAATGTTCGAGTTAAACTTTTATACGCACATTCGTATAGGTAAGCGCCTCATTTCGTATTCGCTTGTTTCGGACATAATTGAATATGAGACCGTGTTTTGCACAGATTAACGTGGCTTTGTTTCAATCCTATTGTGCGAATTTCGATTAATAATTAAATTAGGCAGTCGGGTTGTAGGTGCTTATACATGTTTGAAATTAGTTTTCGGTCGTTTTGGGAATATAGTTGCTGAAGACTTTTAATTATAACTGAAAATGATTTTATACCGTAGACCACTCCAATAAGGTCAGTAATTGATTGTACGTACCAGACCACAGTCGTAATGAGAACGGTTCTGTTATAATAGTGGCGTTCCTATTAAAACAATTTATGTTTTATATATCGTGATAACTATAATTCGTATATTATATCTCGTACTCGTAAACGCGGTTATACTTATTATTTGTATACGTGTAACTATTTGCCATATCAAATGAAACGACTACATTAGTTATGCAAACCGGTTTAAATAAGTGTGACTTACATGAGTTACATGTGACACGCGAACTTGACCCGCTACAAGTCAGTATAAACTTAAACATATGTTGACAATCTCTGGCTACAAGTAAGTACAAGTTTCACTCGGTTCAAGTTGCGAATGATTTTAACTTTATTGAATTATAAGCTATCGACGTCTAACAACTCCGAGATTTGCATTTAAATTTATTTAAAGCGGCCTCCTTGTTCCGGGGACTAATTGAGTTGAAATGTATTACTTAATGATAAAAACACGAGCACTCGCCAAGAGACCAGAATATAGCTCTGAATGATACAAAACTAGTATATTCTTTGTTATTGATTGACATGAAATACCAGACTGCCTCGTACACTTCCGGGCAAGAGGTCTCGGCTTCGACTCCTGGGTTGGGCAAAGTCTATCTGTCTAAATAGCTATTGCCCGCGACTTCGTCCGCATAGAATAAATGACTGCTTGCAGTAATTAAGCTTTTGAATTAGTCTATACCAAGGGATATTCTACGGTAACAAAAGCTGTCAGAATCGATTTGACACCTTACAGATTGTATTGTATAGTATTTACTATTTGATAAATTTGCAATAATAAAAGCGCTGAACCTCATCTAATTTTTTATAATAATATGAATGTTAAATAAGAAATAGAAAATTGTATTCCAATAATATTAGTCAACTACATAGTTACACGAAGTTATGAATAGCAATGAAATGATAACCGTCGTCGATCAACTAGCGACATCTGAGTAACCGCCCCGCAAACACCGCGCGCATCCCGCGGGACATCACGAACTAGTACATTATCTACTGCTGCCAACTACTTCACACAAACACACGACAAAAGTCCCACCTGTTTGAGGCTATATCGATTTATTTATTAGTGATTACCTATTGCCCGGAACTTCTACGTATTTGTATAGTTAATATTATGTTATTTATATTCTACATGAACATGCTTTGTCAAAGCCTGAACGAATCGTAATCCGCTTACATACTTATAAAGGTTCATTTATTATTATATTAGGTATTGAGTACATTTCGTGACCAGTTATATTCTTTTGTGATTAATGTAAATAAAATATATACAATTATTTTATAAATCGTATTAATTTTTTTTTATTTATTTATTTATTTAACAACTTTGGAAGACTAACAGCTAACAAAACAAAAATTATGACATTGTGTGAGAGTCTGACAGCCAATGACAAGTCTTCACATATAAAAAACAAACTTATGCTATAAAAGAATGTGGTCGACACAGTACTCCCTACAAAATTATTATAATAATGAAAACAAATAATAACAAAATAAAAAGAAACAAAGTACTAAATCACTAATCTATACCAATAAACATCTGAACACTATACAGACAGATTACCTCGCATAATATTAGTTCAACCGCGTATCAATAATAGGGATTATGTTACTTAATAAAAAAAAGAAAGGCTCAGGCACCTCCTGACCGTAGATACTTTAATATTAAAAAGGTCAAGATCATGCTGCTTGCACACGCTGTTAAATTCCTTAATTGCACGCACAAAATACGAGTTTTGCCTATAATTGGTAGAGGAGGATGGAACACGTAGCGGTGGAAACCATCTCCTCGACCTTCCAGGAACATTGAGAAACAATCTCGCTAGAATATCGGAACTGTCAATATTATTTTAAGATTTTAATTATTAGGGTGCAATCGCTTATTGCTCGGCGGTCCTTAAGCGGTAAGATGTGATATTTCTTACAGAGACTGTAGTAATCTTCAGACCGGTATGGGACACCCTGGTGATAGCACAGATACTTGATGAATTTCTTCTGGATATTTTCAATACGATCAATGTATTTGTGATAACACGGGTTCCACACTTCAGACGCATATTCCAAGTGACTTCTAACAAAAGTGCAGTATAGAATTTTTAAAGTTTTGATTGAGTGAAGCACTTAGATAGACGCATAATGAAGCCCAATGACTTTGAAGCTTTAGCAACAATGGCATTAACATGAGCCTCAAAAGTGAGCTTAGTGTCATGATGAACCCCCAGATCTCGGATGATATCTGATCTAGGAAGTGTTTGATCTCCCAAGGTATATGATGCAACTATATTAGTGCGCTTTCGGGAATATGTCACCACCGAACATTTTGAGGGATTTAGATCCAGCCTACACTCACGACAGTAAGCTTCCAGTCGACACAGGTCAACCTGTAACGCAGCCACATCGGTCTGTGATGATATTTTTGAAAAGATTTTCATATCATCGGCAAAACACAGTAACTTTGATGAGATCAGACACGAATCAATGTCATTTATATAGATGATAAAGAGTAATGGGCCTAGCAAAGAACCCTGCGGGACTCCACTGGGGACAGGTACCCAACCAGACATATAATTACTTAATACTACTGCTTGGGACCGGTTTCTCAGATACGAGGAAAACCATCTGAGTAGATCACCACGTATTCCCACACTATCCATCTTAGATAATAATATTTCATGTTGAATTCGATCAAAAGCTTTACTGTAGTCTGTATAAACGACATCGACCTGCCCACCCCTGTCCATAGCATCAGTAATGAAATCGTTAAGAAGAATTAAGTTAGTGACGGTGGACCTTCCCTTCAAAAAACCGTGTTGGAAAGAACTAAAGGAGTTATTGAGCGCACTATATACCTGATTGTAGATAATTCTTTCAAAGATTTTTGCTATGATACATAGTTTAGAAATTGGTCTGTAATTAATTATTTCAGTTTTTACTCCTTTTTTGTGAATTGGTGTTATAAATGCCGATTTCCAAAGTTTGGGCACGATGCAACAATCTAGAGACTTCCTAAATAAAATAGTAATGGGCCGGGTAATTGACGTTACACACCGTACAAGAAATTTGGATGAAATGTAATCAGGGCCCGCTGCTTTAGATGTATCCAGTTTACGAAGTAACCTGGAAACCTCATCCTCGCTTACCTCGACACTGCAAATATCGGACAGAGCCGGAGGTCCAGCTGAGGGATTGAAACGCCCACTATAAGAAGTTGGACTGGTATCAAGAAAAGTAGATTGGAAGTATTTCGAGAAAGCCTCACATATTGAGTTTCCGGTACACAACATTTCATTGTTGTAATTTAGGGTACTAGGAATTGCATGTGAGTTGTGTCTTTTTTTAACGAAGGTCCAAAAGTGCTTCGGGTTTACTTTGATTGAGTTTTCGGTTAAGATGAGGTAGTTCTTATAACACTCAGATTCCAACTCCTTCACCCTTTGACGAAGAAGCTTAAATGTTAACTGATCAGCTACGTTGCCGTAAGTCTTAAATTTTTTTAAATACTTATATTTTTCTTTAATTGTATTAATCAATGATGAGTTGTACCAAGTTGGATATGCATTTTTACGTTGTAATTTCTGTGGGATATGTTTTAAATGTAAATTAATAATGTTTTGATTGAAAAAAGTTACTGAATCATCAATTGATCGTGTCGCAAACTCAGATTCCCAGCAGGTTGTACTAATCTCTTTGTTAATAGATTCGTAGTCACCCTTGTCGAATAAGAACTGTGTCCGAGTCGCGCATTCCAATAGAGGGGCAATGAAATTTACACCAATTAAAAGTGCTGGGTGGTAAGCATCGATGGGAACCAACGGACTTGGGCATTCGGTCACATCGACTAATCGGTTAGAAAGTACCAAATCTAGAATTTTGCCATATCGATTATGAACACCGTTGTATTGACCAAGGTCGAGGGTATGTAATTCATCACTAAGCATAATTTCGTCATGACCCACTGGGTTGATAGGAACGAAAGATTGATTCTCGGACAACACCCAATTAATACTGCTCATGTTGAAGTCACCAACAACAAGAAAAGCATCCGTGGGGCCACTTATGACTATTTGATTTAATTTTGTAAGGTAGTTTAAAAGTTGTAATGAAAAAGAAAGGCCCAAGTTTTGTTGACACAAATAGACAACACAAATATGTAGATTCGTGTATTTTCGCGTATTCGACTCCCTCAGACGTATGCTCAACCATAGATCCTCTGCCGTAGAATAGAACGTAGGTTGGCACACAACCGAAAGCTCTCTGCGTGTGGCGATAAGTACACCCCCTCCACGGGACTGCCCGGTAGTAACATAGTCCCGATCCCGGCGCCACACAATGTATCGTTCGTCAAAGAATTCAGAATTTAAGATTCCATCCAATAACCACGTCTCTGTAAGAACAATAACATCATAGGAGTTTAGTGACATTTGACGATAGAATGTATCACTTTTCGTTCTAAGGCCGCGAACGTTTTGATAATAAATATTTAATTTAGGAGTCATTGAATTTATTATCAGTAATAGCGTATAAATTTGCATAATCTATTAAAATAGATTGT